ACCAAGAGACTTTTGGACAAATCCGGTGGTGTATTGAAAACAGCTCAGGCCAGTTTGGGAGAGTCAGTTGTTAAATTTTCAGTGTGCGTTTACACCTAGGAAATCAGAATTTGGTGAATGCTACAAAACTATGAAGGTTAGACAAGAGTCCATAGACCATGAGGAATCACCGAAGTTTGGTTTGGTTTTTAGCAAAACAGAATAATGATGAAACAGGTGTCCTCAGAAACCAAAGCCAAGACTTTATAAGGAATTATTTCTTCAGCCACTCAGAACAAGAACATGCCAAAAATTGTTACAACTTGGGCTCCTTCTCACATTATTAGTCACCAGCTGGAACTGCTTTCCTCTAGCAATGAGTCACCCTCCTCCTGTGTTTACACGGGTAAGCATGAATCTTGCTTTAGAATTCCCTATCGCAAAGTTCAGATTACTTAGAATGTAGCAGGCTTGAATTCTTTGCTTTAGGTGGAGTTTGGTGGTTGGACTGTTGGGACACAATGAAAACTCCCAGACTCATTTCCTGCCACCGGCTGTTCTAACAGTGAAGGATTCATCAGTTCTTCAGCGGAGGGTGTCTAGTTTAAAGTGACTGTGAACATTGTTTGTTCCAGCTATTATAAATGTCTCTGGCAGGATCAAATGGAATATGGTATGATTATATTTGATTACTAGAGTCCAACAAGATACTAAATGTCACTAGGCAAACACTCTGGCTGACAAAGCCTGCACTATACCCACTCGGCTTCAGAGACCAATTCAATTCTAGTCTGGCATCGGTGGGCCTAAACCACTCTGGCTGGGACAATCCATGCAAGATGAAGAAAACACCAAGAGAATCAGAGAATCCTACAATTTAGAGCTGGGAAGGCTCATCGAGTCCAAACATCATTTTAAGGATTGGGAAACTGAAGCCCAGAATAATGAAGGAATTTGCCCAAGGTCATGTAAGTGGTAGTAATAATTAAAATGCATATAGAGACTTAAGGTTTGCAGAATACTTCACTGACCTTCCATCCTCACTACAGCCTTGTGAGGAGGATAATATAATAATAAATATAGTTAATAATATAGGGCAGCTAGGTGGCACAGTGGATAGAGTACTAGGCCTAGAGTTGTGAAAACTCATCTTCCTAAGTTCAAATCTGGCCTCAGACACTTAGTAGCTGTGTGTCCCTGGGCAAGTCACTTAACCCTGTTTGCCTCAGTTTCCTCATCTGTAAAGATGAACTGGAGAAGGAAATAGCAAACCATGCCAGTATTTTTGCCAATAAAATCCCAAATGGGGTCATGAAGAGTGGGATATGACTGTAAAATGACTGAACGGGGTTGGGTATTATTATCTCCAAACTATAAATGAAGGAACTGAAACTCATAGCAATTAAATGACTTGCCCAAGGTCACACAGCTAATATGTGTGAGGCAGGATTTGAGCCTGGGTATTCCTGGTGAAGTGCTCTAGCTATTATACCATACTTCCTTGGTTAGTAAATAGAATCCCTGGATATCTGAACTGGGGATTCCTTGATGTTAAGTCCAATGCCATATCCAGGACCCAATAAAAGGGAACAGGAATAGGGACATGACCTGTGCTTTCATTGGTTAAGAAAGAATTCTCAGGAGAGAACACTCCCTCTACTAGTGCAGGTTGGCACCTTCCCTTAAAACTGAGAATCTTATAGTTAGGTGTACAGGGGAGTCAGGTGACTCTTCCAGGGTCACACAGTTAGTATGTGTCAGAAACAAGACTTAAACCTTCCTGTGCTGAGGTCCACTCTCTGTCCACTATGCCCTGCTGCCCATCCATACAACATAAGACTTAAAAAGAGACCTGGAAATCCCCAGATTCAACAAGGATGCCCTAAAATGGACCTACTTTAAAAGGTAGGTCCCAAACCAAGTCGGTGCGCTATAGTTCTCTGGAGTCCTCATGTTTTCCCCATCTGGGATCTCCATCGTTGGTAGCTATTCAACCTTTGGTTGGCTCCCAAGTTCCCTTGGGCACTGACTCCATGGAACCTCTCTCAATGTGGTGTTTCCTGTAGGACAAGTTTCTCTAATGAGACCTCAACAGAAGAAGGGTTCAAGAATTGTGCATGGTCCAATTCATTTCCTGCCTTTTTTCAAATGATTTGGCAGATAGTGATGTCGTCATGAGTCCTTCCACAGCGACAGAAATCAGTGCTTGGCCAAAAGCATGAGCAGCTGACTTCGGCAGTTCTACACAAGCCCAAGGGTTGTTTCCTATTATTTCTAGTTGAGATAGCATACCCCAGTGAAATGGAAAACTGGAATGCTCATCATCTAAATCTCACAGACCACAATGCATCTGGCAATTGCTAACAATCTTTTTTTTTTAAGTCATAACATCCTTAACCTCCCAGCTTGGTTTAACTGAGTCAGTATCTGGAAGATGGAGGAAGATGTACACTGTGGCTTTCTGCATGCTTACTAATAACAATGACATCAGTCCTCACCATGGTAATCTTGAGACTCATAATCTCTTTCATAGGTTGTGATGAAAGGAAGAAGTCAATAAACTAGGAAAAAAAAAGGTTATGAAGGCCTTGGTTGGGTTTTTTTTGGGGGGGAGGGGCAGTGAGGCACTTAGGGTTCCCAATGCAACCTGTGGCAGATCATGGAGTTGTAGAATATGAAAGCTGGAAGGTTTCCTACAGATTCATCTATAGGTGGTAATTTTACAAATGAGGAAATTTGATCATAGAATCATAGATCACAGAGTTAGACATGGAGGGGAGATAGAATAATAGACACTGAAATATTTGCTGACTGATTGAAATTAGAATGAATCTAATCCAATTACCTTATTTTACAACAAATGAAAGTGAAGTCTAGGTGGCACAGTGGATAGAGTGCCAGGCCTGGAGTCAGAAAAACTTGAGTTCAAATCTGGCCTCAGATAGTCACTAGCTGTGTGACCCTGGGCAAGTCACTTAACCTTGCTTGCCTCAGTTTCCTTACCTGTAAAATGAGCTTGAGAAGGAAATGGCAAACCCCTCCAGTATCTTTGCCAAGAAAATCTCAAATGGGATCACAAAGAGTCAGACATGACTGAAAATGACTAAACAACAATTAGTTAATAGCAGAGGAGAGATTAGAATCCAGGACTCCTGACTGTCATCATGGGAGTCTCTTCTGTTCCACCCCACCACCTCTCAGTTCCTTACATCCTCTGGGAATTCTTCACCAGAAACAGAGATAGAGACTACTTAACTTTTGCTTGGAAGTTTTTAAGCTTGGTATTTCTTTTAAAGTGCTAAGATCTGAGAAATGGAGACATAACTTCCAGTTAATGTCATGTGTTTGGGATCACTAACGTCATAAGTAGCTTTGTATAAACAACTAAAATGCCAAATACCTTATAGTTTCTTCTTTGAATAAAATGTCCCATTAGCCCACATAAAAAGCTCCAGTGATGATATTTCAGCAGACCTTCAGGAGCAATGTGAAAGGGGGAAGGGAGGTATACCGAGAAGGGGGCAGGAAAGAGTACTGTAATCAGGAAAACCTGGGTGTGAATTTTGCTCCAGATAACTTCCCAGTTGTGTGATCCTGGGCGAGGTAGAGTTTCTGGGTTGTTGTTTTTTTAAGGCAATTGGGGTTAAGTGACTTGTCCAGGGTCACACAGCCAGTAAATGTTTGAGGCCAGATTTGAACTCACATCCTCCTGACTCCAGGGCCAATGTTCTATCTATTGTGCCACCTAGATGCCACCTTGGGCAAGCTATTAATCACCTCTTACCTTCACTTTCCTCAACCATAATATGCAAATGCTAATAGCACCTACATCATAGGATTGTTCTCAGGAACAAATGAATGAAATAATGAATGTAAATCATTTTGCACACCTTAAAAGCACTATATCAGTGTTAACTAATATTCGTTTCCTCAGTGCACAGAGACTAGAAAGGGTCATAGGTCATCAGGTACAGCCCTATAATTTTTATAGATGAGGAAACTTAGCAATTAGGTGGCCCAGTGAATAGAGTGTTGGACCTGGAGTCAGGAAGACTGATCTTCATGACTTCAAATCTGGCCTCAGCTGTGTGACTTTGGGCAAGTCATTTAACCCTGGTTCCCTCATTTTCCTCATCTGTAAAATAAGCTGGAGAAAGAAATGGCAAATCACTCCAGTATCTTTGCCAAGAAAACTCCAAATGCAGTCAGGAAGAGCTGGGCACAACTGAAAACAACTAAATGACCCCCCCCCAAAAAAAAAGATTCAGAGAGGGTAAGTGCCTTACCCAAGGGCACACAAGGAGTAAGAGAAAGAGGCAGGATTTGAACTCAAGTCCTTTGTAAAGTCACTTGCCCCACCACTATACTTCTCTCCTCTTGTAGTAAACACTTTCCTCTCACCATTCATTTCTTTTCACTTTGAAAACCTAGATCAGCAGTTATTGAAGCACCATCCCAACGTTTTCAAATGCCCTCCCCTATTTAAAAGTCTTTCGGATGCCAACAATGATGAGTAAGAGGAAAGCCTGATCTCTCAGTAAGACAGGGGCTTTCTTCAGCTTTCCTTTAAGCACTATCACCATCCCTATCCCCACCATCTTTGCAAGGGTTGTCAGCTCAGGGCCTAATCCTTCTCCTTACATATGTCATGAAACCCTGGAATGTATCAAGAGAGCCAATTCACCAGGGGCCAGGTTCTCAATCTATGCCTTTTCAAGGTAAATTGGACACAAAGGAATTAGCGTTATGAAATCTAAGTTGAATTCCCTTGGGGAGACTTGGCAATTTCCCGTGTTGGGAAATCCCAGGGAATGTGAATGATGGGAAAAGAAAAAAAGAACAAAAAACATAAACCTAACCCTTCAAAAACAATGTGCTTTTTCCTGCTGTTAAGACAGAGTAAAGAACACCCTTTTTGGGAAATGCCTGATTACTTCTGAGATCCCTGGACCCCTTCGACACATCTCACCAGCTAGCTACAGCACACATCAGTATAAGAAGTCTTTCCAGAAACCAGCAGGTCATTTCAATAGATAGCTCTTTATTGGAAATGGAATGTATTTTGAAAAAATATGAAAAATAAATCACATCTCTCAGAAATATCCTATTTACACTAAAATTATAACACTTGTCAATTCACAAGGATGATATGCTAGAAAACTTTTGGTACATTGTGGCACCTTCCACTTTTCAGAAACCAGCATTTACATGTCATAAACCTTAAAGAAAAGGGTTTACTGAAGAATGCAACAGGCAAAGGATTTGTAGACTATCTTGCCTCCGGAAAATCAATATTAAGAAATCTCAGAAGGCCTCTTCTTATCAAAACCTGCTTCTTTCCTTACATTGCTTCATCACAGCTTTCAGTTAAAAACACTGGTTACCATCTTATATCAACTGCTGTAAAGATGCTACTAAGGATACTGGGCTCTCATTAATCAGCCTTTCCTATTCTTTTCCAGGAAAAACTGTTGAATGCTGGACTCTGTGTTCTATTAAGCAACGTTCCCAACAAATGAGTAGATCATTTCACTATTTTCTGTAAATTTGTGTCAGTCTCCACCACTGGCAAAAAATTAACTCTGAAAGCCGTTGTTCAGAAAAAGAAAAAAGGGGGGGAATGAAAAAGGTAGAAACAAAGACCCACAGGGACTCTGGGGAAACTATCTTAAGAGGGAAACAAAAGATCCCTCTCAAAAAAAAAATCATAACAGCCATTTTCAACCATTGTGACATCATACATTGTTTGGAAGTAGCAGAATGGATTTATTCCCCCAGAGAACATCATAAAACCAGGTCACAAAACTCTTAATTTAAGATTTGAAAGTCATGTAGCTAATTAACATTACACTTTGGATATTTTTATTGGTCAAGAGACCAAAGCTTTAGTGTGACGACTAAGAAAACAACAAATGGAATACTCCTGAAATAAGCTTAAGTGGTAACAGCAGAGGCCAGTTCCTGATACTAGCCGGGTGAGTAGACCTCTTGTTAAGGGCTAGGCCATACTCCAGACAGATTTAAGTCTTGACCCCTCTTCCACATTTAAAATAAAATAAAAATGATGCGCACACCTGGAGCAAAGAAACCATCAGGTGGGAGAGAGGAAAGTAAATGGTGCTTTTGATAATGGTCAGCTCACAGCATCTTATTTAGTTGCCCAAGTATAAAGTTTTAACATTGCAAAATTTGTAAGTAAAATGCTGGGTGTTTCATGTGAGCTGTGAATTCCAAGGCATGAAGTCAACAAGTATTTATTAAGAGCATACTTTATGTGCCAGGCATCATGCTAAGTGCTTGGTTCAGGATTCAAACGACAACCAATTTTAATATATTGGTCTGTCAAGTATAAGTCCAGAAAAATGGAGAGAAACAAAATCAGGCATTTCAGAGTTTGTTTCATAGGCTGCCTGATCATTTTCCTGGAACTCCTTAAGAGCTGTTGGTGGCTAAAAAATAACAAAAATTATATGAGAAAGCCAAATATCAGGCCCACCTGGAATAAGGATGACAGCTAGCAAGGCCTGTCAAGCAATTACACATTTTGCTAAGGTTCCTTATGACAATAAACAGGCTGATACAGAGCTGTGATGCATATGCCTCTGTTATGAAAGCAACATTTAGGCTTGACATGTTGTCTGTCCATCATGGCCTTAGATATTTGGCAGAAGTGGGTATGGAGGGGAAGGGCAGTGGAAAAGTCAGGCAAGACAACATGTTCAAATATTTCTGGGGTGCTGGGCAGCAGCCTGTCTTTATTCAACAAATATTTGAGCCCCTACCAGGTACAGAGCACTCAGGGAGCAAAAGTCAAGATACACATATTTCCTTTCTTTCACTTTCCAAATGCTCACATTTCTCATTGGTCCAGGAGTGGATTTTTCAATTCATATTCTCTTTTTATTATCTTAGATTAAAGGGGAAATTTTACTTCTCCATGAGACTGACTGTCTTCTTGGTCCTTAAAAGACCTTAAGAGGCTGGTTAAGGGGCAAGCATTATTATCTTCATCTTGTAAGTTAAGCATATGGAGCTACAAAGAGAAATGATCTTGGAAGGAAACTGTTGCAGTGTGCTTTTTAGCAGATCCTTTGCATTGCCTACTTAACAAATGGCTTAAAGTAAAAAAAAAAAAACGAAAACAATTTTAAAGCAATCTAGCTCCTTAAAAAAAAAGGAAATTTTTCTCTTAAACAAAGTTCCTAGTCATAGGATAGACTTGGAAGGGACATGAGAAGTCACTTAAGTGATTTTGTAAGAGCTAAGAATGAAACTCAAATCTCCTGGCTCCAAAGCTAGGGCTCTTTCTAATGTGCCTTGCAGCACCTGGGTAGCCACCAGCTTTCAAGAGGCAAATCGTTATAAGTCAAGGGACTGTCATGTGCCAGAAACACTACATTTGAACAGAAGACATGGGATGGAATCTCAGCTCTAGCACAAGCTTCAGCAAATGACCACCTCTTAGAGTCTCAGTTTCCTTGGCTATAAAATGGGAGGAGGGACCCATTACCTACTTCACCAGCTTAAGAGACTCAAGTGAGTGTGAAGCTTTCTGCAAACCAGAAAGACCTAGGTCGATATAGTCTATTATCATCTCACTTATTTTAATAAGCATTACACATCATTAGCTTTCCTGCCTCTCCCATGGCATGACTGGGGGCTTGTTTTAAGGGGGCTGGACTAGGTTTTCTCTAAAGTCTCAACTCTAAAATTCTATAATCTATGTCCTTCAAATTTAACCAGGGTATCAGACCCAGATGACCCCCAAAACTCACCTAATGTCACAGTAAGCAGCCAGGCACACAAAAACAAGCCTAAAGGGTTTTTGGGCCAGGTACTAATCAGACCCTCTGAACTGGTGACTTCCATCAAGAACAAACAGGACATTGAAACTCTGATTAGGCACATAAACGAGCATAGTGGATAAATAGCATGGTAATAGTGCAGAAGATAAGGGGTTCAAATCCTGCCTCTGACACTAGTTATGTGATTTGGACAGATTGCTTTCTGAGCCTGTTTTCTCCTTAAATTGAAAGGGCTATACTCAATGACCTCTAAGGTCCCTTCCAATTCTAAACCTAAGATGTAAAGAAAGGACATCAGAAGTGGTGTCCTCCCCCCCCCACTCACCCCTTACAGGAACAATTTACCCTTCCTTTTTTTTTAAAAGGATAAAAAAATAACACATCCATCTCAGATACCTGGTACAAATCTTACCCATAGCATATGGAATTAGCCCTGTGAAATGAAAACGGGCTGCTTTGCTAGCTAATGAGTTCTCCTATCACTGGAAGTGTTCAAGCAGTGGATGGGAAATCTCCTTTCAGACATATTATTAACTAATTCCCTGTATGGGGCAGGAGGCTGGACTTGACCACCTTCATGGTTCCTTTTCAGAGCCATACATTTCTGAAAGGGCAGATCAATTTACTTGAAAAACTGATGGTTTTAGTAGGGATGTTATGTCATGATGACTCGAGGGAACTCCTTATTTAAAAGTAGGAAAGCTTACTTTTCTTCTTCCGCAAAGATCAACAGTGAGTAGACTGACTCTAAAGCAGTTGTTGCTGCAAGTCTTTCAGCTCTGACTCAAGCAACAGTCTGCCTTGGAACAGCAAGGCCTTTTTTTGGCTCCTCAGCAATCTACAATAAAGCTTTCAGTCATAATCAGAGAGATGCAGGTTAATTAGTCCTGATAAAAGTGTTAGGACTGATTTTAGGGTTGTTGGGTTTTTCTTTCTTCTTCTTCTTCTTCTTTTTTTTTTTAAAGGAGAGATTTCCAGACTGCAAGACTTCTATCAATTTAAGTTTTACCCCTCAAAAATGATCGGACCTTGAAACTACTTACTACAAGGGCTAGGGGGAAAGGAATTGATTCAGTCTCTTTTAACTGTACCTTACAAATTAGCCAAATGCTTACCAGTCTTCAAAGAGTGATAAAAAAGATTACCTGGGGCTAAAGAATTTAAAACAACTGATAGTTCTGTAGATAAGGAAGTGATTAACATCTAAAGGCTTTTTTAAAAAAATAGCCTCTGTCCTTCGTAGGTTCGCACCATCCTTTTCTTCTAACACGGAAGTATTTCTTCTACCTTATAAGCAAGGTCTGTGAGGTTTCCGGATTCTTTAAAGAACTGGTACATCTCTATTCACTCCTTTTCCTTACTCTGTCCAACCCCAATACCTTTTCACAATCTGGCAGATCTACAAAGCAGGTTTCTCTGAGCAATGCATTTTCACTACAAAAACTAAAGTCACGAAATGTTTAAATCCTTTCAACTATTTACAACCTGGATTTTAGACTGAAGAATTCTTCAAACATCAATGCAAAAAGGGTCAAAAACATTCAAGTCGAACAAGAGATCGGAGAAAGCTCATAATCAGATAGGGTTGATAACTTGAGTCAAAGTGTAAACGTTCTCTTTCCTGCTTCCTTTTCGAAATAATATAAGCATATATTTTTAAGTTAATGTACAAAACCAATCACAATTTTAAAAGACATCTCCTTCTTAGGTCTGCCATGTAGATAATAGCTAAAGTTTTTCACATAGTGACATTTTGCTTCTGGCCCACTTCCAGCCCCACAGAATTGAAAGAGAAATCTGATAATTCTTTGAAACAGCTGGGTGTTTTTTTAAATAAATATTTTGAACCAAGTTTCAATATCTTTATGTTCCCCTTTCAGAGAAGCTGTATCTAGAATATTAGATTCTCATAAATGCACAATTCTTAACATTTAATTGCTTTTAATGAATTTCTACCCAAAATATAGCTCTAGGGGAAAATCAAATAAAAAAACTTAAACATCATAGCATTTTGTCTCCTCAACTTGGCATGACAAACCATGGGTCACATACAGTACCCTTATTAAGGTCTCCTTGAAATAAATAAATGAATTCTCAGTGTCTCTTCCTGTCCCTTTCTCCTTCCCCTTCCCACATCTCCAAGGATGAGGGCTTATTATTATTAGCAAATGAGGTTTGACAAATTAATTCATTTCTGGAAAATGGCCTACATTCAGAAATGTCTGACAACAAGCATTTAAAAAAAACTAATAAATAATTGCAAATTAAAATACATTAAAATAAAATTACAGTACATCATCTCTCCTAGAAGTCTGGCCATTCTAGAAGAGCCTTTCCAAGGTTCATAAATAACAGTCAAAGTCTTCATGACTCGAAATTCTTCCCTGCATCATGATGACGCCTGTGCAGAAAACTAAGTGGGAGGGGGGCGAGTCACAGGTTACCACAAAGGTGAGGTCCAAGATACTTGAGTCCCGTTGGGGTCCAGGGGAGTTGTTTCTTTAGTTTTCCGATTAACTGAAGACTCTATAGAAATGTGTTCTTTCCAACTTTCCGAAGAGTTCTTTAATTCAACCTGGAAAGTAACGAATGACACTGAATGACGTTGCCGGCTCTAAAGAATCCCAGATCCCTGTTCTTCTTTAACCAACCCCGCGCACGTTCTCCGACAATGGTCCCCTAAGCCACCGCTCCATGCCAGCTGGCACGGTCTCCCTGCGAAGACCTTCTGTTCTACACTGTCTCCCTTCCCTCTCCCACTGCCTGCCCGACTCTGCTCCGAGAGCCGACTCCCCAGCGCCTAACACTGGGCCTTCTTTGGCCAAAAGTAGAAGATGCGGCTTCAATAGAATTATCTAACCTTGCCAGGGACCAGGGTAGAGCTTTTCCCCATTCCCTCCTTGCCTCCGGTCGAGAAACTTCGCTTTCTTTTCTGTTTCTGTTGCATAACCTCAGCACTCACTCCTCCTGCCCTGCTCATTTCTGGGGGGCCCCCTCGGGCATCCCGTTATCTGCAGCCACAGAATCTACCCACTCCTTACCTGGTCTGGCTTGGGTGAGGGGGGAGCTGCCCTCTATCCTTTCAGGCGGAGTTGGAGGTGCTGCGAAGCAGGCGGTGGCCGGGCTGCTGATGCTGAGGAGGCTGTGGGTGCGGGTGCGGGTGCGGATGCGGGTGCGGATGCGGGTGCGGGTCGCGCGGAAGCTGCTGCTGCTGTTGCTGCTGCTGCTGCTGCTGTTGGACTAGGTGCTGCTGCTTCTGCCGGGTAGACTTCACGGCCAGGATGGCCTGGCGGTTCTTGTATTGCACCATCTGCAGTGTGATCTCGGCGTTCCAGCCCTGGTCCTGGGGGCACCGAAAGTCGATCTCTTTGCCCTCGGCCATGACCACCGTAAAGTACATGTACTTGCCCTTGCGCTCCACGCAGTCCACTGTCTTCATGTTGGAGAAATGCAGCTCCTTGAGCTTGGCGGGAGGCTCGAGGCCGGCGGCGGCGGCGGCCGGAGGGCTCGCCTGGGGCTGCTCCGCCGCTGCCGCCTGCTGCTGCTGTTGCTGCTGCTGCTGCTGCTGCTGGTGCAGCTGCTTGGGGGGGATGAGCAGCAGCCCCTCCTCGGTGAGGATGCAGCATTTCTTCTTCCACAGCTGCAGCAGCCCGTCGCTGCGCTTCTCCAGCACCCCCTCCTTCAGCGCTTTGCAGCCACCGCTCTCCAGCATCCTCTCGGCATAGGGGTGGCCGCCGCCGCCGCCTCCGCCGCCCCTGCTCCTCCTGCCCGCCTCTCCTCCTCCCCGTCCTCCCCGTCCTCCTCGCCTCGTAGCCGCCGGCGCCGGGGGGCAGCAGCAGCAGGCGGGCGCCGTCCTCCCCCCAGCGGCTCTCGCGGCCGCCCAAGCGGAGAGGGTAGAGGAGGCTGAGCAGGAGGACGCAGGGCAGGGCGGCTCGGGCGGCTGAGAGCCGCGTCCTGGGGTCCTGCCTGGGCTCGGCTCCTGCCTGCTGCCGGCTGCCGGCTGCCGGCTGTCTGCCTTCCCTCTCTAGCTGGCCGCTCACTCGAGACGAGTGGCGCTGCCCCCTCCCTGTGCTTTTGAATGAGCCATCCCTCCCGCCCCAGAGTGACACCCAGCGGAAAAGGCGGCTCCGCGCGCACCCACCCGCCCCCCGGCCCCAGCCATCCAGCCGGACCGCCCCGCTCTCTCTCCAGGCGACGTTGGCTTGCGCCTGTGAACTTGGCTCCTTTCCAGACGTGGCTCAGCCCCCGTCCCCGCCCTCCCTTCCCTCCTCACTCCTCACTCCTTCCCTGGGAGTAGGGGGAAGATGAGGATGGGAGAGGTCCCCCAAGGAGCACCCCGTGCCCAGGACTGGGAGGCTGGAGGCAATGCTGGTGGGGCAGGAATCCTAGCTCCTCCCAGACCTCCTAGGAACCCCTTCTCTGCTTCCCCCAAAAATGCGTGAAAAAAGGAAAAGGTTGGGGGTCGTGGGGGGATCCTGCCACTAAGGTCGCACTCAAACGCACCTCCACTTTCTGAAACCGGTCTTTCTAGAATCCTCTCTCCAACTCACCTCCCCCAAAAAGCTGAAAAAAGGTGCGGGCTAGGGTCGTGGGGGGTGGGGGTGGGGTTCTACCCCAGAAATCGTATTCACTCGTCCCTCCGCTTTCTGAAACCAGCCCTTCCACAACTTTCTACCACTCCATCCTAGACCCCGAAAGAGAGAAAGTGAGGGCTGGGGTCGTGAGGAATCCTGTCACGGACATTTGCGCTCCACTTTAGCCCTCAGAAACTAGCCCTTCTTCCAGCAACCTCACCCTCCCCCCAAAATGTGTGAGGGTGGGGGATTCCGACCCTGCGACACTACTCAAATTCAGCTCTTGCTGTAGCTACCTCCTCGCTCCCCCAAATGTGAAAATAGTGTGAGTGGTGTTCGCGGGGGAACCCTGACACTGACATCGCACTCTGCTGTCGCAGAAAACAGTCCTTATCCTAGAAACCCCACCAGAAAAGATAATCAAAAAGAAAGCGAGGGAAAGTGTGGAGGTGATAGGGGTTAACCAACACTGAGCCCACTCAATCACACTTTCACCCCAGCCTCCTCAAACCAGCCCTTCTAGGAACCTCTAGCTCCTCTCTCAAAAAAAAAGAAAGAAAAAGAAAAGAAAAGAAAAAATTAAAGACAGATTGCCCAAGGTTAGGGATCCCCCCCTTTTGGGCTCATGCTGTAGGATGGATGACTGAGGATAGAGTGAGGCCAGGCCAGCCTGGAGTCCCCCAGACGATCATGCTTGCAAACAGCCACACTGGCTCTTCGGGTTACTTTGACATTGCACACACTTCCAACATCCAAAAAATATGTTAATGAAGTTTAGGCACCCACGCACCTTGCCGTATGAAATCACTGGCCTCATTTGAATTGTGGAGCAACGGTATTTGCTATACATGCCGCATTTTCCAGATTAGTACTGGTCCGTACGGGGGGGAGGGGAGGTTGTCCCGGCAGGGATTTCCTTAAACTCGTTCAACTTCATTAAGAGCAGAGCAGCCTCTGTACTAGGCGCAGAGTGCGATGGAAAGATAAATCTTCTCAAAGAATTTCCCATCCAGTAAAGAAAGCGACACTCTTTTTTGCGTTGTGGCAGAGTAGACCGGAACTGCATTGCTTGTTCTCAGAAATCCCGACGGCCTTTTCCTGCCGTTTTCATCTGCGTTTGGATATTAAGGGTAGAGACGGAAATCCCAGCTTTTTCCAATACTGTTAGAAGTGGCTAGAGTCTAGAGCAAGAGTGGGGAATTTGTTCTGTGAAGTTTGGATTCAGTCAAAGGGCCGTCGGTATTTGAGGACCTAGAAGGCCACATGTGGCCTCGAGGCCGCAGGTTCTGCACCCCCCGGGCTAGACCATTGGCTTTTTTTTCTCTTTTCTTTTCTAAGCAGAGTCCGGCCTTTCATTTTTCCAAAGATCGATACTGGCACTTCCTTCTCCAATCTCCCAATAGCAACTTCTATAGAAACTGCTCTCAGAGAGAAGTTCAATAGTGAGATGTTTAATCAGCGGCATCAACCTCTACTTTTACCCTGAGATCAGCCCATATAAGGAAAGGAGCACTAGACTTTTGGTGGGCTATTTACTAGCTGTGACCTTCAGCCAAATGAGGCCTCTTCTCCGGGGCTCAGCTTCTTCCTCTTAAAATGGAGATAATACTACTACTCAACAGCTCTATCTTCCCTAGTCGTTTGTTATTAAGAAGCGAATTGCAAATCTGAAAGAGGTATAGAAGCCTATGCTCTAAATATGGATCTCAGCCGTTAGTCTATAGCCTAGATGCCAAGCGGACTCCACAGGAGGTTTTGAATGCAGCTCTCTTCCTGAAAAGTCATGCCTTGAGGGGTATTATACCTAAACAGGGAATTACCCCTTATGTTTAAAAAGAACAAAACCAAAAACCCTAAGGATTGTATTTTGACAATGAAATACCCCAAATTAATATGGCAAATTATTCATCTCTCTCTCTCTCCTCACCAAGACAAGTGAGAAGTTTGTTATTGTTATTGTTTTTAAAGGAATTAATTAATTGGTTCACCCTTTTGACAGTATGTCTTTCTTGGCTAATTGGGAAAGTCAATAAGCATTTATTGTACATACTATGTGCCAGGCACTGTGCTAAGCAACAACAAATTTAGATTTATTGTGACATGCAAATTAGCCTTTTTAACAAGTTTTTCTCACAGACCTGACTTTACACTGACTCGTAATTCCAACACAATTATCTATGATATCATGTGTTATAGACACTCTCATTGTACTATGGCCAAGGAATATGACTATATTGTTTTCAGTCATTCAGTCATGTCCAACTCTTCATGATCTCATGGACCATACCTAGCATGTCAGGCTTTTCTACCCTCCACTATCTCTCAAAGTCTGTCCAGGTTTCTGTTCATTATTTCCATGATTCTATCTATTCATCTCATGCTCTGCCATTTCCTTTTCCTTTTGCCTTCTATTTTTCCCAGCCTCAGAGTCTCTTCCAATGAGACCTGTCTTCTCCTTATGTGACCAAATATGACTATAATACAACTTTTACAATAGGATCACATTAAAATTAGGGTCGAGATTTTGACTATCCTATCTTTTCCATTTCTCCATTTACAAAATGTTGAGCCTACACAGATTCCAGTTTCAAATGTTCTTTAAGAATTTTTTTTTAAAACACCGTAAAGGAACAGCAACAGCCACGCTGTGCTATGACTAACATTGATAGACTTAGCCCTTCTCAGCAATGCAAGGATCTAAGACATCTCCAAAAGTCTCATGATGGAAAATGCTGTCCACATCCAGAGAAAGAACTATGGAGTTTGAACGCAGATCAGAGCATATCATTTGCTCTTTTTTTCCCCCCTTCTATTTTGTTTTGTTTGCTCTTTCTTGTGGTTCCTCCTATTGGTTCTAATTCTTCCTTATAACATGACTAATGTGAAAATATATTTAATAGGAATGTATATGTAGAGCTTATATCAGATTGTGTTCAGTCTTGGGGAGGGAAGAGGGGAGGGAGAGAGAAAAATTTAAAACTCAAAAGCTTATGGAAGTGATTGTTGATAATGCAAAATAAATTAATAAAAAATTAATTAATTAAAAAAATTTTAAAAACATTGTAAAGGAGTAAAATAATGTTAGGCCACCTAAAGAGCTTTATACATTGTTTGGTAAGAAATGGCACATTGCATCTGCTAAACGGCCTAGCTCTAGCAGGGCAGAGTCTTTTAATTTTGGTAACTCTCCCCTCTCTCAGGACCGCTCTTTGCTCACAAGGATTGGCTAGCACTTGTTTTGTGTTTTCACCTGTCACTTATGCAAAAATCCAGGATTTCTAGTTAGTAATTGGTGGATAACAGTAATTTTCTGCTCAACAGTGTTTGGCACATAACATGCACTCAGGAAATACTGTGAAAGGACTGACCAAAAAAAAAAAATTGACCTTTGAGAGTTTAGATTCTTGTGGATAAGTAACCCCTCTAGCTCAATTTAGAAGAGTTCTCAATTACTATATTCAATTATTTTAAACAAACTAAAGCTGCAGTTACATTTTCAAAATATGTAGAGAAAAATCTAAATGGAAAGTACGCAAGGAAGCAGTACTGCTCACAATCAACTCTCACACTCTGAACCATGGGCTTGATGGAGATGCTTTGTACACTTCAATCAGTTTGTTTCCGGCATATCTGCAATCCTTCTTTAACAGCATCAAAAATCAATTTTATTCAGAAAGCTGCATTATACAATAGTAGGCACTATATTCTAATTTCAGACCCTATGACAAATTCCAAACAACCCTGCTAGATAAGGTGGTAAACTGTCCCTTATTATCCACAAGTGAAAAGGAAATTTCATTAATTGGTAAAATGCCATTTATATTTCCAATAATGCCTACAACCTAAGTTAATAAAAGTTTAAAAACTTTATCCAGGATTTTGTGAAGGCCTCATATGATTATAAAAATCATGCCCTCGGTTAAGAAATCTGTCGTATTGCCGTGTATGAAGTAGAATCAGTTTTTAAAACTTGATAGTGTGGGGATGTAACCCACCCCACCATGAATTTTATTATCTTCTATATCCTACATATTCCATTTAAAGTAAATCTCAGCTTTCCTTTCTGAGTAATGTATCATTTAACATTGTGAGAAATAATTAAACAAATAAGCTGGCCGTTTTAAATAGAGATTAGCCCAAGAAACAGTAAATTCCTATTAAAATGAAGTAAAAAGGATTTACAGAGAATGCAGTTTAAAAAAAATCTCAATCTTGCTTAAACTCTGGCTTAAAAGGTTGTGGAAGATGGTAGATGAATGAGAAATTGCTTATTCTGTTCCACTTTCACCCAATTTATTGTTGTTGTTGTTCAGTCAAATGCAACTCTTTGTGACCCCATTTGGGGTTCTCTTGGCGAAGATACTGGAATGGTTTGCAATTTCCTTCTCCAGCTCATTTTACAGGTGAGGAAACTGAGGCACACAGGGTTACCTGACTTGCTTAGGGTCACACAGTTAGTGTCTAAGACCAGATTTAAACTCAGTGACATGACTCTTCCGGACTCCAGGCCCAGCGCTCTATCCACTGCACCACCTAGCTGCCTATTTTAAAGTTATTTAAACACAAGACAACAACGCAAGCCTGATTGACGTATTGGTCAGGAAGACATTCTAAAATGTCATTATAACACGTGCTGTTATGGAAGTGGATATACCAGAAGTTAGATCATAACTTTTAAACAAAAGTCAATGAACTTATTACGTGAGATGTGGCTCTATCTCCAGCACCATGCAAAAGGAATACGACTGTTACGATGTAGTATTTACAGTAGGATAATTAGGGTTGACTTTTTTTGTTCTTTCATTTCTCCATTTACAAAATGCTAACAAGGCCTCAGATTCCAGTTTCAAATTTGTTTTAAGAATTATTTTAAAGAATCCTAAGAGAGTTAGGCATTAGGTTAGACTCACTAAGGCTGTCTAAAGAATTTCAAGGAATAGCACACAGAAGACTGTTTCTACTATAACTAAGGTAATGGTGCCTCCTAGTGACCAGCTTGAAGAACACAGTGGGAAGAAACATGAAAAGAGACTTCAACAGTTATTTTCTCTACTGTCATTGCTTGGATAGAAGCAGACTGTCAGTTGTGAGGGCTTATGGAAAATTATGTCAAAATTTGGTTGCCCAGAGTTCATCAGCATTGTACATCAGTCTCATGACGGCATGCTTGCCCAGGTTCTGGATAACAGACAATGCTCTCGTACTCGACCAGTCACCAACGGAGTGAAACAAGGTTGTGTGCTTGCTCCCATGTTTTCTAGCATAATGTTTGCAGACATGTTGTCAGATGCTTTCAATGAGAATGAACATGGCATCAAGGTCAGCTACCACACTGATGGAAAATTCTTCAACTCAAAAAGACGAGCCAAGACCATAGTGGATGGAGTGTTGGTACATGATTTTCTGTTTGCAGATGATTGTGCACTCAATGCAGCCTCTGAAGCTGAGATGCAACAAAGTATAGATCGATTGTCCGCTACTTGTGTTAATTTTGGCCTAACAATGAACAATTAACACTAAGAAAACACAGGTGCTTCATCAGCCACCACCATGCCATCCATACGTGGAACCATCGTTTACAGCAAATGGAGAAGTTTTGAACGCTGTGGATAAGTTCACTTACCTGGGTAGCGTACTTTCCAGGGATGTTCACATTGATAATGAGGATGATGCATACATTGTCAAAGCTAGCTCAGTGTTTGGGAGGCTCTGAAGGAGAGTATGGGAAAGAAGAGGTATTAGACTGACTACCAAACTTGAAGGTCTACAGAGCTGTTGTGCTGACCTCATTGTTGTATGCTGTGAAACTTGGACAGTATACCAGGGCCATGCCAGGAAACTGAATTGCTTCCATCTGAATTGTCTTAGGAAGATTCTGAAGATCACCTGGCAGGATGAGATACCAGACACTGAGGTAGGTCCTTTCTAGAGCTAAACTGCCAAGCATTCAAAGCTGCTTCAGAGAGGACAACTCTGATGGACTGGCCATGTTGTTTGAATGCAAAACATACTCTTGCCAAAGACCTATTTTGTGGAGAATGTACACAGGGCAAGCATTCACATGGC